CCACTCCACTCCACTCACCCCACCTCACCTCACCTCAACTGAACTCAACTCAACTCAACTCCCTCCCGCCTCCCTCGCTCACACACTCCCCACTGACTCACTCAACACATCTCAATTCAACTGGACTCGACTCTACTCGACTCCACTCCACTCCTCTCCCTTGCTTCCACGCTCACTCACCCAACTCACTGACCCACTCGAATCTCAACACTCCCCCTGCACCTTCACTGCGGGCCTCTCCCCCCCCACGATCGCGGCGATCCGCTCTCTCCACCGCCACAAATCTCATCTCTGTCAAACTCGGTGTGGTTTAGGGCTTGGTTGCGAGGCGCAACTTGCTCCAGTTCCCCATTCCGATCCTTTCCTTCGGTCCTCGAAGGCCCCGTAAGGAGGAAGAAAAGAAGGAGCTGAAAACCAAACCCTTGTCGATCAATTCTGTGAAAGCCTCTCTCTGTCGATCCTTCTTTCAGGATCGAAGTTAGGGAAGCCGGAGAAGCTGGATTAGGTTGCCCTGGCTGTGTCTCATTCCATCCTCGTACCGAACAAAATCCGTTGCAAACAGCTCCATGTGTGCATGTTTTGGCCGAGACACTTGCCCACTACAGGCGGATTGGCTAAATCTGAATCTACTCCAGTGGTGCCTTTGACCAACTCAAACAGCCCGTCGCGCAGTTTACGCCACGCAAAGCGCAGTTCACGCCACGCTCTCGAGCGAACATGTCTGATTGCATCTGGTCTTTCGCCAAAAACGAAACAGGGATTAGCTCGGAGCGTGAAGATTCGAAGGCAGTTTTGACCTGCCTTCCTATTTGGATTCAAGGCCTAGTTGGCCCTTGAGATTTTGGGTCTCCTCTTTCGGCTGCCCCCACAGCAGCCGAGAGGAGATGGAGATCCGCTGCGGTGCGAGACCCCTTGGTGATCGTCCCCTGTATCGGACAAGAAGATCATCCTGGGAAGAGCTGAGCTACGTTTCCATCCATTGAAGTCATGTGTCACACTGGCCACCAGGCAGGAGAAACCTCATGTATACATGTGTTTGCATAATAATATTTGTAGTATACAGAAAATGTGTATAAAGAAAATATATGTATGTATATACAATATGTATATATATATACTATATAGATAGATACATACATATATATATATATAATATTAGAATACATATTATATATGTACATATACAGCAGTATATCCACATATATGCATTATATGCATATATGCTTAAACTAAGGTGATGTGAAACCCGGCAAAACGTTCCAGCTTGAACTCCTTTCGGACCAATGTTCGCTTGTTGCTTGTCACAAGGACCCTCCTGGCAGACCCTGAAAGATACGTTCACAAAGTGTGCCGGTAGATCCTAATCTGGTGTTTGGTTGGAGGGAAACTCTCCTTTTGACCAGGGTACCTTCCGACTCTTCCTCCAACTCTTCCCACGGTGACCTTGGACTCTCCGCTTCATCCTTCACTAACTCTTCAGAAGGATCTGTTCTTGGACTCGCCCCATTTTACGTGAGTGAGTTGGAAAGTGGTGGAACTCGGGCCTTGGGTCTTTTGGGTCTCCAGGTCTCCAGGTGGTCTCCAGTCGCTGCACTTTGGGGTTTGAAAGTAGCTCCAACATAGCCGTTCAAGAAACGAAGTAGCAAGGACGCTAATGCTCGGTGGAGGCCATTGCAAGTAGGTTGGAGGCCATTGCAAGTAGAACGTGACAAGAAGCTACGAACGTAGCAGGGACGCTGTTAGGTGGAGGACTTACCCCACGTCAGATCGATTTGATTTTGTGGCGATGCCAAGTCAGATCAACCCACGACGCCCAAGAGCAGAGCTAAATCCTCGGTGAAGATGGGACGAGGAAAAACCAGTGGAAACCCTCTATCAATCCAAAAAGAATGCCTTCGTGGAAACTCCTTAAACTGGAAAAGAGCAGCATGTTCTATTTTCCAGGGCAGTGGCTTCGAACCACTGGTTGGGTCCACGATGCCCCGATCCACTCGCCTCGTCCTAGGTCCTAGGGTTCGGTTGGAAGTTTACCATCAACAACCTCCCAGTTCTGTACCTTGGCTCACGGTTCCCCTCAACAAACGTGAGCCCCGGAACGTGAGCCATTCAGAAATATATATATATATCCATCGGTCTTTACCAAGGCCTCAGGCTTGACGCACATCTTCCATATGAAAAATACATCTTTCGTAAGCACAAAATAGCGTACCATGCAGATAAGCGTACCCCATAAAATACCATGTGTTCAGTGCCCAGAAAGGACACAGTCGCTTCAACGAATAAGTACCCGACTGATTCAACTTCTGCAGTATTCCTCGGACGGACGGACGGATAGTCACGCTCGCGTGCAGCGTGTTGCATGCGGGTGGAGGACCATCCGAGGAGAACGAGCGAAGAGGGCGGCAAATGTCACAAGAGAATGGACCAATGGTAAAAAGAATGGCAACGGCTTTGAAGGGGTTCCAATATGGCCACAGCCTGCAGGGAACTGCCACATCTAAAAGAATTTTGGAGAGGTTTACAGCTTTACGGCCTTCTGGACACACCATACTTTTCACCCACAAGCCACGGACACAAGACCACCAACCAACCCGTCACTGGGCTCCAAACGTCCGGCGACCGGAGGGCTCGACCCCTTCGGAACGTAGACCACCGTGTCGGTCCTGTCCACCGGTGCCGACGCCCGGTCATGCGGTCCCGCGGTCCGGGTACCCGAACGGTGGTGTCAGACTCCGCAGGGAAGGAAACCCAAAGGCACGGAATGGGACGGGTTTTTAGTTGGAAGTCGTAGCAAATTGTATTGCTGTCATATCCCTAGTCCTTCCTAGGAGGTGGTTGGAGCCCGGTATCATCATAGCTGTCAAGGGTGCATCGGCCATGGCGCAGCATGACTGACACGTCCATTGATCTCTCAAGCACATCAAGAGGGTGCATGAGTTTTGCGGCTATAACCTATGACCAGAGCCTTCGGAACTTGTGCAGTAGTAGCTGGTGTAACTTAACAAAAGTAGAGTACACCTGGGGAGTCTAAGATTCCTTGATATCTCCGACCGTTTGGCGAGCGAGCATCGAAAGGTCCTGTCTCGACCGAACTGGCTAAAGCTCGAAATGCCTAGCCCTGGTGACCAAGGGGAAGAGGCGAAGCAGAGTCGCCCCCACCAAAGTGCAAACCGACTTCAGACTTAATAAGGTCACCCCGCCTTACTACTAGTAACAAGTGCCTCGCTACTAGTAGCAAGTGCCTTACTAGTAGTAACAATAAGAATAAGAATTCTAATTACTAGCAAACATTGTTACTACCAGTAAGGCACTTGTTACTAGCGATGCACTTGTAATTACTAGCAAACAAGGTCACCCGGTCACCCAAACCAAAGAGGCTCAAAGCGTCGTCCAAAACCCTGGCAACCGGGGGAAGGAGGTCTGGTCGGTCCGGTTGCGTCAGTCTCACTCTGAAAGGCAAAGTCACCGTCGACTAGAAGATAAACAAGTTCAACCTAACTTCTTGTGAGGGTTCCCACTCAAAGAGCCGCATGAACAACAAATGGGCAAAGTTCTTGGCAAATGGAAAATCAAAACCGAAGAGTCTAAGAGTTGTGCTTGCCATCTGACAGGCAGACACTCAGTTAGTCCAAGAATCTTTTAAATGGTCTTTAGGGTGGTCTGAGCAGGAATTTGACTTGAATCAGTGGCGTAACATATAGTCTTTGCACCCATCTCCCCCACATGTGCCAGTTCATTCTCCACCTCTCCTTTCAGCCTCCCTCTTCCTCCCGGCCCCCTCTTCCACGCGACCCGACAACGCGACCACGGTTGTCGCTCCTGTCGTTGTGGAGAAAGGGAAGGTCTCCGGGACTTCCTCAGTTTTCCGCCCACCGGCGCCTCGACGCGGCACCGTTCGCGACACCGTCGACCGGACACCAAGTGGAGCACCCGGTGAGGAATACTAGGAGGAGGAAAAACTGGAGACTTCTGAGGCCTTCGATCTTTTTCACCTGGAAA